GCTCTGATGATAGTGGGATATGTTCGAACACTAAACCTGATAAGGCTAATGCTGACTCTTTCTTCACCTTGTGCAGAAAAGAAGGAAAAAAAACAGAGGCATGTTATACTTTCTCCAAACTTTATTTCAGCATGCAGAACTCTGGATGACCTCTCTGTATTCATCCCTGTTTTCATACTCAAAAATATATTGACAAAGGCACTCTACTGAAGCGCTAAAGGTGGTGACAGACATGGAAACACAACTATACAGCAGGAACTACAAGTCCCATTGTCCTTGCAGAGAGACCTTCGGGTAGCGGAGGTGCTCATTGGTGGGTTCGGTGAGAAGTGTGGCGGGCCAGATGCAGGAGCCTGAGGATGATGTCGGTGGGATCACCGCCTTCCAACTGGCTGCTTTGGTCGTCTCCGTCGTCCTCAGGGAGGCACGACTGATCTGCAGTGCAGTTTTCTGAGGTGGAAAAAAAGAAAGACGGAGGAGTTAATGCTGCGGCATTTCACTGCGACTGCACTTTAACGAGCAGAAAAAAAGGCATTTTCCGGTAATTTCCCCACCACTTAGAGCTACAAGAGGATCAGAATGATCTAAAGAGAATAATCAACATGTTTGTTCCTGCTTTTATTGTTCTGCAAGTCTTCTGCTTTTATTCCATGTCGCCTATTAAGTGGTTAAATGCCGCTTTTGCATGTTTATTTATTTTAACAGTGTTGTTTTCTTGTAAATGTGACCCTGTGACTTAATGGTACTTGCCTGTTTACATTAAGATAACAAATTTAAAGCAACGGTTGGTTTCTAAAGAGGATTTCAACATAAATTCAGCCTTTCAAGAAAAGGTTGCAAAATTAGCATTTAAACTGGAACAAAAAAAGCTGCTACTGATGCATCGACACCAGTAATGAGCCATATTTAGATTAATTATACATCCTTCTGTCAGAACTAAAAAAGAAATCTTTCAGATGAGAAGTGAAACGCTCAAAATCGAAGAAAGGAAGTATGTTCGTCTTCTGTTTACACGCATAGATCTTTATGGTACTTTAACTTGATTTACATCTAAAAGTTCTCTGTGCTTATCTAAAGGCTGTCGTGTAAACTGTTATTTAGGTATTTATAGAAAGTTCTACAATGACTATTTAGAATCTGTTTTTTGTTTCTTCAATTAGAAATTTCACTTTGTTTTCACTTCACACCTTAGTTCCTTTAAAATATGCACTTTTCTCACATTTGTATTTAAATTATGTGAGGATTTAAATGCTTTGGCAGATAATTACAATAAGTTGAGAAGCCCTCCCTGTTGTCAGCGAATCAAATAAAAATGTTGATGTTGTAATAAAATTATATGAATGTTTAAAAATGGGCCTTGTTTCACCCAGGGTTGTTTCGAAGGTAATGTGTGTTTCTTCCATACACACTGCCACCTACTGGCCAACATGGGCCTGTCCTTTACCATTGTTGTCCTTATCCATTGTGAGACGTTTGTCGACAAAAACCAGAACTAAAATACTGAAGGGATTTTTAATTATCTTGGATTAAAATAGTTTTTAATCATCTGGAAATAAAACTGACATGGCGCAACACTGGGTCTTAACCAAAACCGATCCATTTAGTTTGCGACTTTTAGGTTTTTGAAGCCAAAGCAACAGTTTTTGAAAATTAGTTTACTTGTAAAAGTAAAGTATGTGACTTGAAGACCCAACAACAGTAAAGGAGGGAATCAAAACTCCAAGTTAGATGAGTAACGGTGCTCTATGATATCTCGGAAAATAAAGTATGATGTAGAACAAATGGAGCTGAAGATGATGGAGTAATGAAAGACGCACAGGAGACAAGTTTTTAAAAAATTACACTAAAAATATAAAGCAATGGTAAAAAGCATATTTTCATATTTTATACAGTTATCTTAATATATTGTGTAATTTCTTTGTCTAGACATTTTTTGATTGCCTGTGTTGCCATAATGGACTGGTACATTTTCTTCACCTGCTACTTGAAAAGCAAGAACGTTACAATTTTTTTTTCATGCCTAAAGTAAATGCACCATTCCATTACGACAACTTTTTGTCTTGAATCAGTGTCTGTTTCCGGATTCTCTGACCTGCATCGCAGCAAAGTCCTGCAGCGGCGCAGCGTCCTCCCTCTGAGCCACAGGCTCTCCCTCCGGCCTGACAGGGGGTGAGCAAGTAGTTCTCCTCCACGCAGTGTGCCGACTCGGGGGAACCCATGAGGCAGCCGATGCCCTCCCCGCAGCAGATGCTGGGGCCGTAGCAGCGGCCCCGGTCTCCAGGGCCGCAAGACATGCACTATGGAGGGAAAAAGAATCTGAGGTATTTTTTTGTCTAGTTTCTAGTGCAAATATCTTAGTGCACTTAAAAGAAGACAAAACTAATGTAAAATGAACTTTTATGTGAGATACAGGAGCTTTATGTCAGTAATTAATTAATATTGATGAAAACGTATTAGTTCCACTGGCCGATTGAGTCACTTATAACTTGAGAAAAACGTCTTGCTAGTGAAATAATCTGACAGTGGAATTAATACTTTTTCATCAATATTAAGGAATTATTTATCTAATAGAAGCTCATATTTATAGCTGAACAGTTAGCTGTAAGTTAGTGCACTTGAAATAAGAAACTAGACCAAACGTAACAGTTTTTGCAAATTAACTTGTTTTGTGTTTTTGCAGTGTTTATCTTTTACCATGCTCATTCAATTTGATGCAGTTTGTTTCTATACTGCCAATTTGCAACAAATGCCATCTTACAGCACATTACCAAACAAAAAAGTCCAATTTGTAAACAGAAATAAATCAAATCAGTCTAATAACTGTATACACATTTTACTGCATATATTTCCATCCTAGATTTTCAGTTCTATTTCTGAAATTTATCTTGAATCCAACACGAAAATGAGAGAAAATGAGAGAAAGAAAATGCAAGGAGATCTGTTCTGAAAGTTGTCATAGCTATCTATATTTTTGTCATTCAGCTTTGATAGGTGACCAATATCAATTTGACAAGGCAAAAGCATTTTACTTTGAGTTTGTAGCTTAAAAATTAAAATTGGAGCAACAAACCTTTCGGAGAGGAGCATCCATGATTGACCTCTTTCCACCGATGGGGCAGTTGGAGATGTAACACGCCGAACAAACGGACAGGAGGAAAAGCAGGCCCACGAACACGGCAGCTCCAGACATTTCTGCTGAGAATAAAGGCTGTTAAATACAGGAAATGGACTCGGCTACAGAGATGTCCTGAGATCAAACCCGTTCACCTGTTTCTTCACGATCTGCTTTACAAGCGCTCAGAGGTGATTGCTGTGGTCTCCGTCCTTGCATCTGCCGTTCACAGGTCTTATATATTCCTCAAGGCAACTTTTGAAAGTGACCCAGAAAGCCGAAAGCCACTTAAAAATCTCTAATGAATGTTCTTTGGATGCAGAGATGAATCGTCACAGTGGGAGGACAGGGTCAAAGGGCCAGGTCGTCGTGCTTACGTCTCTTTTGGCGAAGTTCATTACTGAAGGTCTTGTGGAGCGTGACCGTGCATATTAGAGATGAGAAAGACCATCAGAGAGGTCAAGATGAGCATGCAGGGTTGAAATTATTCTAATTATTAAAGATCACACGGACTGTAGAACGTTGATCTGCAATTATTAGAAGACGGTTTGAGTTTTGGGTTTATTCTTAAGATTTTTTGACATATTTTGGAGGGCTGTCAAGAAAGAGTGAACTTACAGGCGATCAGAGGAGGTCTGTGGTCAAAACTGAACGCTAAGTGGCCGCGTTTGGCTCGGCGGCCATGTTCTCCTTGAAGCAATGCAATACTGATGATGACAAATCGTCCCACTACTAAAAATGTCCTCCATTCTTCTTTAAGTCCTTAATTCTTCAGAGGAATTGAGGCACACATTGTTCAGGATCTGAGGTTAATTGCTTTTATGAGCTAATTAACACACTTAATGACCAGCCACAACCCGCAGAAGGCAGCTACATCTCAACAATGATATGAGCTCAATTAGTGCACCTTTCTGCAGAAGCCACCTCGTTTCAACTAACTTTTCTTCCAGGTGTAAGTTTGTTAGAAACGAATATGTGGAACAACTCACAGTTTCACTTGCCTCCTACTGGCTGCGAGTTGTTTACCTGGACAAGGTAAAGGAACAACCTTCCCTCCATCTATGCTGATGGGAATGTGACAGTTTTGTGCAAACATTTACAACACAAAAGGCCTTTGAAATTCACTTTTGTTGAGTAAAGCTTCCATCTTTAATATTACTTTTTTTTGTTGTTTTTTTTTTTACAAATTACAGTAAAAAAACAACTTTGCATTTCTATTTATTTTTACTTTACTCCCTGTAAATAAAATACAGTGAAAAAAACAAACTTTATAAATCATGTAATTGGTAAATGTGGTTCATATGAGTGTGATTAATCTCCCATCATCGTCATGGAAGAGAAGCAGGAAGAACAGCCGTATAAATTTTGTTTGAAGTTCACTAGAAGCCATGTGTGGGCCGTAGGACGCCCATTAGACCAAAATGCATCTGTAAGTCGCTACATGCATGTGTAGAACCTTGAGCACACCATTCCCCTGATGAAACACGGTGGTGGTGGCAGCATGCTGTGGCCATGCTTTCTTTCAGCTGTCACAGGGAAGCTAGACAGAGTTGGTGGGGATCTGAATGAATATAAACACTGGAATGTTAAAGGCTGCAAAACATCAGGATTTAAAGACCTTTAGTTTCATCTGTGTTTCTGGAGTTGATCGTTTCTTCATTATTTACTTAGATCATTCATCTATGTGTGTTAACTTCGGTGCATTAGAGTTGGGTTCCTTAAGTTTTTCCTTTCATCTGGTTTCCTGTGTCTTAGTTTTGTTTCTTTCTCCTTTTCTTCAGCCTCCCAGCTGTTTTTCATCTCCTCATTTCCTCTGCCTGCTCTCCCTCCCTCCCAGCTGCTGCTACTCGCCTTTGATTGCTCCTTTGTCACGGCCACCTTTCCTTCAGTACTTAAGCTCTTCAGTTTGTGTTAATCCTCACTGGTTCTTCTGTTGATCTTTGTGACTTACTCCATACCTTGCGCCGTCTGGCCAGCTGTTTCTACCTGCTATTTGTAAGTTTTCTCAGCAGTTTCACTAAATATGTCTTCCATGACAACTCCAAGTGTCTGTCTACCTGTCATGCCACAAAACACAAGACTGAGGGAGAGGTTCACTGTCCAGCAGGACAATGACCCTAATCATACAATCAGATCTATGATGGAATAGTTTCAAAGCTCAAGTCCAGTTTCTTGGTGGTATTATGCTGCAACTTTTAGATGCATTTCTTCCACAATCAAGTCAAATAAATACTTCTTTTCAGGCCTCAGAGACAAATGACTTGATGATGAGGGATATGCATCCACAAGCCCCAGAATGGTGGGTGTCCAGCAATGCACCCTGGTTAAAAATAAAAAACAAAACCGTATCCAGTTGTTAGAATGGCCTGGTCAAAGTCCAGGCTGAAATCTGTGACACCACTTAAAAATTGCTTTTCACACGGTTATCCATGTGATCTGACTGAGCTTTTGTGATGTGGGAAAACGTGTTGAAGGGGTATGAATACTTTTGCAAGGCACTGAATTTCACTGCAAACTAAATCATCTTGCATTTCCTTAAAATAGACCGATGGTAAAAAAAGAACGTAAAAAATGACACCAGTGGAAAGATTCAGTCCATCATTGCATGCCAATTCACAACTCTTAACAATTCAAATTGTGTTGTTTGTTTGTGCAACATCAACTCTCCTCCTCAAGTTCCTCCAAAAACCTGTGCAAATCCCTATTTCATAGAGAAATGGAGATGTCTATCTAGTGTTTCCTTATTTTTCTGCAGGAAGGCACTAGGCTTGTTGACTTCCTCTCCCCTCCCTTCCTTCCTTCTCTCCGAAGGTACTCATCTGAAAAATGAGAACAAAGTGATTGTTCCTGTTCTCTTTCTTAAGTCACTTCAAATGCTATCCGTGGACGGGCGGCTCATTGTCAGGAGAGCTGCGGAGCGAGCGAGAGGAAGAGAACTCAGGCTCAGGTACAACAGCAACAAGAGCAGCAGCGGCAGCACTTCAGCCAAAAGCATCACAGAGAGAGGGGGAGAAAAACGCTGGTAAGTTGCACGCAGGCTTCCCTGCAGCCTGACAGGACACACTGGCATGGCACAGACTGGCACATGAGGAGGGGCTTCACTTTTAATGGATTGTTTGGGATGAGTGTGGCAAACAGGCAGGGGTCTGTGCTCACAGCGACTCAAGCAGCAGGAGGAGTGAGGAGGACAGAGTCCAGGAGAGAGAATTCAACTTCAGAGACAGAAAACAATGAAAACTTTGATTTTCGTTTCCGGCAGCTCGAAAACCTGAAAAGTGACAGAATAATATGTTTGATAAAACTTGCACCCTGCATTAGGAATATTATTTTTTAACACATCTGCACTTTTTTTGTTTTGTTGAATTGCAATTTCTCTGTGTCCCCGCATCAGGAATATTCAAATTGTTACAAAGGTCTGCAGAGAGGAGAAATCATTTCAGAATTACAAAATGTATTCTAAACTCTGCTGCTGTTGACCAAACACTGAATAACAATTGTAGATTATAAATGCTGAACTGTTTATCTAATATCTCATAAAGGTCACATTCTACCACTGTAAACGGCTCACCTTTAACTATTATGTTAGAATAATAGTTAGTTTCCAGCTTATTCTCACGAATAAGTTGGAAGTGATTACCAGGAATAGAAGGATGATGTTATGAACGACATTGTTTAGAACTGTTTTGAATGCCATGCAGAAGTGAGATGGTTCCCCTTTTTAGTTATCGTTTTCGTCCATCGTCTACAAAATCACACTAAGAGACGGCCGTGAAGATGCCATCTACATCACTGTTGTGTTATTGTTAGTTACTTGAGTCAGAAAGCCAATTTTAACATGGTGAGAAGTTAGAAAAGTGGACAGTTCTTCTGCGAGTGCAAAAATAAAGCGAAGAGATGAACAGAGCACAGAGAAAAGAGATGGAGAAGCGAAAAGGCTGCAGGAGGTAGAGGTGAACATTTCTCAGAGAACTTCCCGATTTCAGACGAGGAGGAGACCTGTGAGAAAGAAAGAAGTGAAAGGTTTCAGGTTGAACACCGAAAGATGTGGGTGTCGGCGCCGCTCCGTACCCTTTTCAATCTTTACTTTATAAAAATGCTTCAGAGGAACTGCTCCCCATCTTCAACTGAAACCAGAAGCATGGTCAGAAGATGAGCTTTTATAAACTGTTCCTCTTAATGATGCGTCTGGGGGTAAAAATAAGCATTGATCGAAAGTAGATCTGCTCAATAACTGTACTTTATATATTTTAAAACTATTAGCTGCTCTTTTTTTGATGCCAATTCTGCAGATCCGTCTCCGATTTGGATCTATTACATGTCACACCTCTGATTCACTTTACTTGTTTAAATATCATTCAAAATATAAACTTTAAAAAGTCAGATTTCGGTTTCCTCATGTCTTGCTAAATTGTCCAAACTCCTTTAACGCTCTCTTTTTTTTTTTTTTGTCACAACCACAAACTTCAGTGTACTGCCTTTTGTTAGGGAACATTAGAAACCAAACATGATGCTTCAAACATGAAGACCAAGGTACACAGCAGACAGGTCAGGAATTAAACAGTGGCGAAGTTTGAATTACATTTAGATTAGAAACAGATATCCTGAGCTTTGAACACCTCTCAGATGAACACAACTGGGAACCTACAGAGACATGGCAATAAATCTAAACTGACACTCTGAGCAAGGATAGCATTAATAAGCATGTAAAAGACTCTTTGTAACTCTGGAGGAGCTGCAAAGATCAGGTAAGAGAATCTGTTGAGATGTAGGAGAGCGAGAAGAGAAAAGTTACTGTTGCAAAGAATGTCATAAGATTTCCTAGATAAGTGGGACAAGGTTTGCCAATCAGATGAGTGAAACTGTTTTTTTAACCAAAAAAATAATCATCCTGAACTTGACAACCTCACAGTGAAACATGGTGATGAGTGGGACATTTCAAGAGGAATGAATAGTTTTCAATGCACTGTAAGAGGACATGTATTCTGTAAAATCAGCTTGGCTAATATAAAAAAACATGAGCTTTTTAAATTAAGTATTCATAGGTTTTAGACCAGAGCAAAAACATGTAGTGCAGACTTCCTCTGAAATCTGCAAGCAGACTGATGAACATCAGTGCCTAACACTGGGGTTTCCAAACGTCACATGGACTAAAATCAAGTCAAAAGGAATTCTGGGCCCTAAAATACATCTTACAGCAACTCAACAATAAACACTAAGCATGCAACAATTTAATTCAACAAATGAAGTGGTCGATTTGTTGCTGGGAAGGATTTAGAAATCATTTTAAATCCAAAACTTACTACAGGTTTGCCTTGATAAAAGTAACTTTGCAGATTTTCTAGGTATCAATTGGGGGGGGGGGGAATAACAGAACACAATTTAATGAATTCTGATCAATAAAATCTTGTTTGAATAATGCTTGCTGTATTTAGCCAAGTTTATTAAATTAACTAAAAGCTAATTTTTGGTGC